CTCCCCTAGCTGATCGGCTGGCGTGGAGAATGACGCAGCCCGAGGATTCCCAAGTCGCGCAGTGCTGCAGCCAGCCCCGCGCGTATGCAGGTGGGCCTGAGCCCGCAACCCCCCTTATGTCGGGAGTGGATTTATCTTTAAAGTTACTGCAATGCACTGTATATGAGGCTTCCCTTGCGCTTCATCTGGAAGCTACAGTTCTTGCAGAATGTTGCAGCACAATCACTGGCAGGAGTGAGGCCCTGCCAGCATAGAACACCTGTGGCCAGAGATCCGCACTGGTTGCTGACTTGCCACCGGGCCAAGTTCAAATTGTTACTATCAGTATATAAAGAACATTACAACTTGGGACCAGTTTACCTGTGAGATCGCCTTGCCCCATATATGCCCAGTCAGATGGGCAGGGTACAAATAATAAAATGATTATTAGAATTATTATTTGACTGCCTTGATCTGCAGAACTGGCCCTGTTGCAAGTGCCACAAAATCCCCTCCATAATAAGTGCGACAGAACCTACACTCAGACAGGTGACATCAGACAAGCGCCTTCAATTTACTCTTTTCGGCACATGCTAAAAACATTTTTGTTTGGACAAGCCTATGCAGAGATGTAGAATGTCGATGTATGTTTTAATCTGTTTTTAGTTTATTGTTGATTTTATCTTTGTAGTGCTTTATAGAGGTGGGTTTCTTTCACAGATAATTTTATTGTGTTAGTCTCTTTGAGGTTTTTTTTAACAATCAAAAAGTGTAAAAGCTTTATGAAATAAATAAACAAAATAATAAAGACTGGGCCTGGCAGCCCTTTGAATAAAGGGCTGTCCTCTGTAAAGTGGGACACATGCCTATCCTCCTGTAGACACCCCAATTGCACATGGCCTGGTGTACATGTGCGTGAATGCTGAGACCAGGGCAAGTTATTCCCCACACCTCTTGAGAGGTGCCCAGAATCTTGCAGAGTTGTGCACTTATATTTGATTGCGCACCGATGTGCTCATTAGATGCACACTCCCCAATAATTATATTGCTAAACATATGCTCCTCTCACTGTATATACATGAAACAATTACATACTTTCTCCCTCCCTCCCTCCCTCCCTCCCTCCCTCTCCCCACCTCTCTCTGAACTTACCCTTTATTTTCTGAATTCATTTTCTATGACGTAATCTATGGCTTTACATCAGCATCTTGAAATGAACATGGCTAGTTTGCAGGTATTCTGAGCCTACTACTTCTTCTTTTTGTTCCATGTCCTGTGGTCAATTGATGCTTAAAATGTCAAACAAACTTTGAAAGATAAGTGATGAAATGCAATCTGCTCAAAATAAGTCAGATGCCTTTGTTCATTTAAAGGAGTACAAGAGATTTACTGTAGCCAAGAACAATCTGGGAGTATTTTTAGAGCAGCACCAGATGTCCTCCAGCAAAGTCTCCTGTGATTCCAGGATTGCTCTCGCTCCTCTAGTTAACAACCTGTCAGGAAGATGGAACCAGCTCTCGAGAGCAGTGCTTCCCAGGTTTCTGAATTTAAACCAGACATGTGCTTCACTCTCAGTTGTGAAAAGTGTAAGAGTGGTCCTGGCATTGCTTCTGGATTCCAAGAAGATGCAGCAGTGGCCAGCAGGGCTGGTTGGGCTTTTGAGAGATCCCTGGAATAAGGGCAGAACTGCTGCAGCTCATCAGCAGAGCATCAACTTTGCATGCAAAATGTTTTAGCATCTATTCCTGGCATTTCCAGTTAGGACTGGGAATTTCACTATCTGAAACCCTGAAGTAGGGCTGCATTTAGTTTTGATGAGGCCCTCAGTTACTGAAGGTAATGGGGCCCTTTATATGTCCAGCTGTTCTTTGATAACAACAAATTGTCACTTTTGTGTGTGTTGAATACAGTGGTACCTCGGGTTACATATGCTTCAGGTTACATACGCTTCAGGTTACAGACTCCGCTAACCCAGAAATATTACCTCGGGTTAAGAACTTTGCTTCAGGATGAGAACAGAAATCGTGCTCTGGCGGCGCGGCAGCAGCAGGAGGCCCCATTAGCTAAAGTGGTGCTTCAGGTTAAGAACAGTTTCAGGTTAAGAACAGACCTCCGGAACGAATTAAGTACTTAACCTGAGGTACCACTGTATATGCTATATGGTAATTTATGGACCTAATAGGTATCTAAAGCCATTTGCACATAACAAAATATGTATTTTATCAAAGTAATTGTTGAACTAAAATACAATTAAGAAGAAGGATATTAATAGTGAAATACAATTAAGAAGAAGTATATTGATAGTGAAATAATTACCAGTGATATTTTAGGGAGCAGGCTAGCAGGCAGGGCCTATTGCTTACATCGTAGGAGCCCACACAACACAAAACGCTGTAGCTGTATGTAGGTTTTATTTTATTTGTTTTTTATCTTATATTTTGGAAATGTACATCCAGTTTTTTCCCCTTTAAATTTTTTGGGGGCCCCCAAGAGAGTGGGGCCCTAAGCTATAGCTTGTTTAGTTTATACGTAAATCCGGCACTCCCCTGAAGAGCCATTGCTAGTTAGTGCCGACAACACTGAGCTGAATTCAGAAGTGGGAAAAGGGCAAAGCCAATATCTGTGGTGCAACAAAAATAGGTTCCTTTGGGTTATTTCAATTTAAGCATCACATGCATGCATATACATACACAGACACAAAAAAACCAGGGCTCTGTCCCTGCTCACACCACTTGACACGACCATTCTCCCACATTGACCCTTTAGAGCTTCCCCTTACCACTCCATGCAAGCACTAAGCACACTTTTCACCTTCCCAAACACATTTCCGAAGCCACTTATCTCTTTTATGCTGCAATTGTTTTAAACTATTCGTTCCCTTAAAGCTATGGTTTTCCTAGTAGTGATGTATGGAAGTGAGAGCTGGACCATCAAGAAGGCTGATCGCCACAGAATTGATGCTTTTGAATTATGGTGCTGGAGGAGATTCTTGAGAGTCCCGTGGACTGCAAGAAGATCAAACATATCCATTCTGAAGGAAATCAGCCCTGAGTGCTCACTGGAAGGGCAGATCGTGAAGCTGAGGCCCCAATACTTTTGCCACCTCATGAGAAGAGAAGACTCCCTGGAAAAGACCCTGTTGTTGGGAAAGATGGAGGGCACAAGGAGAAGGGGACGACAGAGGATGAGATGGTTGGATAGTGTTCGCGAAGCTACCAGCATGAGTTTGACCGAACTGCGGGAGGCAGTGGAAGACAGGAGTGCCTGGCGTGCTCTGGTCCAGGGGGTCACAAAGAGTCGGACACGACTAAACAACTGAACAACAACAACACTCGTTCCCTTGCCATGGCCACTGCTGTTGTGGAACCTGCCTTCACTGTCTCCACTTTCATCCTGATTTCATGCAAATCCAGGTTTCTGACGTGGCACTACAAATCCCTTCAAAGGGGCTGTGCAGTGACAGCCTTACATTTTTATTATATAGGAAGATACACCCACACATATACCCACCCTGCCACTTATATACTTGTATAATATTCATGGATACATGTGTGTGACTCTGTGTGTGAGAGAGTTATCATTTGATGTAGCAAATGATGGGGCTTGATTCCTTGTTTCTGAACTGTTTGAACTCACAGTGATGGTGCAATGAGATATCTTATAATAGTTTTGCCTGCTGAATCTGTGGGAAAGAGCTGAGCCATAATATACCATTACACAGCTTTGATGTGTGGAATGTTAGAGAAGTTTTGCGTATCTGATTCAACATCAATGTCACCTTGATAAACGGCACTTCTGGTCTTCATCAAATAGATGTACTCAGGGGAAGTGTGTGTTTATTTTCAACAGCTTTATCAAGTACTCCTTGCTATGGTTGGGGGAAAAAAAGAAAGCACATCAAGGTGTTATTTTGTTCAGCTCTGGCCCCATGAATCACTTTTGCCTCCTGCCATCATCATTCCAGCTACCCATAATGGTTTCTGAACAAATATTTATTTCTGATTAAGAACATACCATTTCATATTTTCAAAATGACGCCTCATTTTCACACGCTCGGACATGCTTACAGTATCTGGGTTGTGCAGGAATCTTCACACAGTGTGGAATCTTAACACACAAACAAACAAACAAACAAACAAACAAACAAACAAACAAACAAACAAACAAACACATCACTGCACCATTCATGTATCTGAAAACCTGTTGCCACAAGTGAGTGTAAGGGAAACAGCGGAAGGAAAATGCAACAATTCCTACTTTTAAATGAAGTTGATGGTAGGCACCACCCACCCTCCCGCCATGTGGATAGCTTTGCCTGTGCAAGAGAGAATCCCCACGGGGAACCTAGAGATCTCTTTGTCCTTCATCAGCATTTGTTTGGGTCCATACTGTGCTGGGTACATTTCTACCCACTGAACTATTACATTAATCATGAACCTTTCCACTACTCACATAGGAGTACCAGTGACCCACTGCCCTCCAGAAATACAAGGCCCTTTTGTAGCTTCCAAAGAAGCATCACACTCCTATCTGGGCTCCTGATGCACAAACTGGGCATTGCATGGTTGGCACTGACTCGGGACAGGGCCTTCTTGGCATAGCTGTCAACCTTCCCTTTTTTTGCCGGAAATTCCCTTATTCCAGTGCCGTTTCCTGCTGCTTCCCACTGCTATCCCGGATTGTTAGATATCCCATAGACTGTCCCCAGGACAGGTGAGGCTGCTGATCCCTTATTTTCAAATCTGAAAGTTGACAGCTATGCTTCTTGGTGGGATTCCTCTTTTGTGAAATGCCCTTCCAGGTGAACTGCTTGCCCTTATTATTAACATTCATGAGGAATTTGAAAACATCCCAGTGTTGGATGGCTGAGAGACACTGTTCCTGGCATCCTCAAATTTATCAGCTATGTGGATATGAGACCATTTCAAAATGTTCCTAGATGGTTGTTGTTGTTGTTGTTGTTTTAAGTGAATTGTTCTTCCACTATGCCATTTACCATGCTGGACTCCTTTGGGAAGCAGAATAGGGTAGAAATTTAATAAACCTAAATGGAACAAATTACATGGAACTATTTATTTATGTATACCAAAGCAGCTTACATAAAATAAGCATAGCAACAGCATTCGCAAAATCCGTCAACTACAATCAAAACCAGCAATAAAAATTTGACAATCAGCACAAGATCCTAAGGGGACCAGAGGCTGAAGTTAATCTACACATGGGCTGCAGAAGTTTGGGAAAATAGCTTTTGCTCATTTTGAACAGGACCTGAAACACCAGAGGCCTCATTTCCAGAGGGGGAGCCATGCTAGTCTGTTGCAGCAAAAAAGAGCAAAGAGTCTTCCTATCACTTGGAGATTGAACCAAGGCAAAGGGCTTTCAGCACATTTTATGTTGGCTTTTTTCCTGAGTCATGCAGTGGCTTCACCCTTGAAGCACTAGTGATGAAGTAGACTCCACGCACAAGACTTTGAAGATGACTTTTTACTTGTACGATGGCAACTATTAACAAGCTGTAGCATTTATGCATATCAAGGCCAATACAATGCATTTCTCAACCCTTAAGCCCAAGAGAGAGTCTCTTGCTTTTTGCTTCCAAAACTCATTTGTAGCAGTGCATAAGTTACCAGAACCATTTTGCTTGCCTTCCCTCGCAAACTCCTCTGGACACAGAGTCTGCTTAAGTTTCTACTTTCAGCAAAACAGCGGTGAAACAGCCAGCCAGCCTCTAACTCCCACTCCTCCTATCTAAGAAGAGCCTGTTGCATCAGGCCAATGGCCCATTTAGGCCAGCATCCTTTTCCCACAGTTGGAAACCACATGTCTGCAGGACACCCACCTGAGAAAAAGAGAACTAGCCCTTCCTCTGGTTTCCAGCAACTGGTACTCAGAAGCATCGCAGCATCTGACTGTGGAGGCAGAATATAGCCATCATAGTTGGTATTCATTGATAGCCTTATCCTCCATGAAATTGTTCAACTTCTCTACGGACATTCCTTCCCATGCACATTGCTGTTCAAGATAAGTCTTGCAAGTCAGCTCTGAGTCTTCTCCTCGTGACATTTCCCCCCTTTAGAATATTGCACTGAACTCCAAGGCAAAATGACGAGCTCCTGCGCTGTTTAAAGAACATGCAGACATAAGGCACTCAGGGCTGCCACAAATACCGCAAAATACTGCGACAAATGCCGCAAATAACCAGGCTGCTTTAGGAAGTAACAGCAATTTCTAGCACATGTTTGGGGTTGCCCATTTCGCCAAGACTTTCTGTGACACCCATGCAGAACTCTGCAGATGCGATCAGTGCTTGGTTGCCCAATTTCTGTGCAAGCAACATTGTGGTTTTTTTCTAATCACCAGCTTCTCATCTCATCATTGGGAAATCTGGGAACTCCTCTACTGTATGAAAATGAAGCAGATATAGAGTCTGAACAGGTCAAAGAGGCAAAATGTCAGCCAGGCTTAGATGATGTTGCACAAGCATTGGGTGTCTATCGGTTTTCAGGTCACAAATATACTTACAAATGTATAGTTCCCTATCACCTGTTTTCTGGTCACTTTACAGCATAGTTTTGCTAACAGATGGTCAAACTGCTGTCTGATGGAAATACAGTGCTCATTTGGTAACCCCGAGCCATTTTACCTCCATATTTTCCCGACGTATCATGTCTCAACATATAATAAATATGATTAATGAGAAAGTAAAGGAAATCCTATGTATGATTTTTACCACTAAAGGATATACAAGGCTGACCCAAGACATTTTGCTGTCTGAGGCTCAGCACGAAAGCTTCCCAACCCCAAGTCAAGGTCCATAGTACCCAAGGCCAGTCAAGTTACTTTAACATAGCCTTCATCACTTTGGTGCTCCCAAATGTGCTCCCAAACTCTCTCATCAGCCCTCTAACTGATGGGAATTGTAGTCCGAAACATCCAGAGGGCACCAGGGTGGTAAAGGCTGCTTTCGTACCCAATACATGTCACAAGAGCCCAAACAATAATGTATTAAGGTCAACATTTTGCTGCTCTTTCATGACACTAAGAATCCGCTGTCTCATTCTGCCTAATGGTAGGGCTTGGCTTGGCAATATGGAGCAAAGCTTGCAAGAAAACTATGCATTCCTTTATGCCTCCACTTCCATCCCAATACATGCACCCTTGAGGAGTGTCTCTCTTTTATAGGTCCCAGCCAGAGTTTGCAGTGAGGAATTGTGGGTCTTTAGCTGTGTGTCTTGCAAATTCTCATCCTGGGGCCCAAATCCAGCAACCTGCTTAGGCACCAGGACCATTTGGACATCTCCAGAAAGCAAGGTTCAGCAAATGTCTGCCATCACAGAGCGAAAAAAGAAGAAAAGAAAACCCCTTGACGTGCCGTAAGTTGTTGGCCAAAGGACCATAGTTAATGCTCAGCCCACTTCCTAAAGAGAGGAGGGAAATATTTATCTTTTGCCCCTTGTATTTTAGAGAGCAGCCTTTGAGAGAATTCCAAGGCGGCAGAGTTCTTAATTATTATTTTAAGAGTGCAGTATCTGTATCTCAAGAGGTCTCTGTTTCCGAGAATCATCAAAGTTCTTTGCTCTTATGCAAACACAAGAAGACTTTCTTCCATAGGCAAACATTTGGGACTTTCCTCATCGCAAGAGCTGTGAGAACATGGAGCAAAGTGCCTTGAGAGATGGTGGCTTCTCTTTTGCTAGAGGTATTGCCACAGACACTGGGCAGCCATCTCTCAGAGATGCTGTAGTTGAACCCTGCTGGTGCTGTACTAAACAAGTACTGAGCAAGAGGACCACCAAGGTCCCATTCAACCTCATGATTTTAAAACTAGCATTCCAGAAGTGCACTCTACATTTCCACTTATTATGAATGGTGAAGCATTTGCATGGAGACATGGGCCCTGGAACTCTTTCCCCATTCTGTCAACAGCAACGAATTGAGGGCAACTTCAGCTCCTGGGTCAAGTCTGCAGCAAAACTGGTTTGCATAGCAAAATAGATGCCTCACGTGAAGCTGTGCAGGTGCAGGGATGCTAATCCTCTGCCTTGCCACAGGGCTAGTCCTTCGGGTGCCTGGCTCCCCAGGTGAATGCAGCCACATGAAAAGGAGGAGAGGAACATTCCTCCTGCCCTCCCTCACCCAAGGCTAGGGCCGTTGTGCAGCTATTGGTTTCAGTGCAGCAGAACTTTCCCAGCTCTTAACTGAGCCTGGCATTAACCAAAAGGCCACACCTTTGCTGTGCAATGTATGTAGGCTTTCGCCTCCTTCCTAGCAGTGACCTCCCTGTTCTCTTTTCTGGGAAGGTCCACTGGTGCTCTGCTGGTTAGCTATGTGCTAGAGGCAGCCTAGTTTCATAGGTTTATGGACATGCAGAGAACGTGTGTGTCCTCAGGGTAAAAGAATCTATTCCAAGGCACATTCTTTTTGTGTTTGCTATAAGCATGCTAAGGACCCAGCCCTGCCCGACTCTGACTTTTTAAATTTTATTTCTGGTTTATTCATTGCTCCATGCAAGTAGCTAATGCTTTATGAGCTGGGAAAGTCGCCTTCTGCACAATCAGCCGTGGGTGTTGGCGGCTCCAGAGATTGTCCATGGACGAGGGTTTCATCACTGGGCACGTTGCAGGAGCAAAGGTGTTAAGCCCAGCACCGAGTGCCCTGGAGGCTGAAAGAAGGCAAGAGACTGTCAGAATTTGCAAATGATCTAACCTGGGTGAATTACTCAATGCAGTCTCCGTGGTTCACACCAGCTGGGAAAAAATGCAGGTGAACCAGAATTCATTGGGGCTTGCCTGCTGTCAAGTCACTCGGCCAAGAGGTAACATATAAGAGCTAGGAATGGAGAAGTCATTTGGTCTGCTTTTTGCAGTGAACTGAACCAATTTGATGGTCCCAAACCAGTGTGTGGATTGCTACTCAGCTCCTGATTAAATTACTCAGGGGTCAGCAGACTTTTTCAGCAGGGGGCTGGTCCACTGTCCCTCAGACCTTGTGGGGGGCTGGACTATATTTTTGGGAAAAAATTATGAATGAATTCCAATACCCCACAAATAACCCAAAGATGCATTTTAAATAAAAGGACACATTCTACTCATGTAAAAACATGTTGATTCCCGGACCATCCATGGGCTGGATTTAGAAGGCGATTGGGCCAGATCTGGTCTTAGTTTGCCTACCCATGGATTACATGCTTCTCTGGATTTTGCAAGGCAGTTATGGTGCACAAGCCATAAATATGGATTTTACAGTCCAAATGCGTATTTTATGGAAATGCATACAGGCATTGAACACCATTGAAAAAGCCTGAAAAACATCCCATTCCACCCCCTTTTTGTGCACAAAATAGGGTTAGTCAGTCTTCTAGTGAAAATGCAACAGGATGGGCTTAGGCTGACCTGGGCACATTGAGCACATTGCTCAAAGGTTATTTTAAAAAGCCACAACCAATGCTCAAATTATTGGTGTCGGTGTGACACCCTTTAAATTTTGTGCTGCCCTCCTTAACTTTTAGAAGGATTCTGGGGGTGTTTTTGTTTGTGTCGGTGATTTGGCTATCCCCACACCCCCAAGAGATTGCATGGCATGGACCAACTCCATAATGCAGAGGTGGGGAAACCAGATGTTGTTGGACTCCAACTCCCATCAGCCTTTGCTAATGTGGCCAATAGTGAGGGATGATGGGAGTTGTAGTCTAGCAACACCTCCATGTCCACAGTTTCCTTCCTTTATACATTAATGGGTGGTGGCACCTTTCCTTCTCCACCAGATTTCTTTGGGGGAACCCTTTCTATAGGGTGCCTCAATGCACTCTGTTGGAAGCCAATTGTTCAGAATGTCCAATTGTTTTCCTTGAAATGGGGTTCCATTGGGTATTCAGTGACTAATCTAAACAGCGTCCCCACCCCCCGGCAACGCAGATAATAGTGCTTGTAGCTTTTATTCATTGAAATAAGTGGAAGCGTTCTAGTTTTCCCACGATGTAATTGTACAGATGTGCCTGCACAACAATGAAATGCACATATATATTCCAAGAGAAGCATGGGACCCCCTAGTTATTAGGCTCATGAGCCATTCACACAGACCCTACTGCTTCCTCTGTGCATTGTTCAGCAAGCAAATCACACAATAGACACAAAACAGTTGTAGAGAAAGGAGGAAAATGTAATCTAAAAGCAGATTAGCAGTAAATAGCACCACCTAAGGTATCAGCAGATTCCCTGGCCCCATACTTTCCTACTGGGGTCGCCTGCCTACACTGATGCACAGAATATGATATGATTTTATCATTTTTAAAAAGCTCACGGATGCTGTTGAATGGGTCTTGCATGTTCTCTGCTGTATATCAGGGACAGCTATAGAAGGCTCTGGAGGAAGAAGTTCAACTCACCATACCAGATCCTAACTTTGATTTGCAAAGTGCTAAGTTTTTATCATGATTACTCTGCAGTAGGAATCTTGCTTTGGGGATTTCCTTCATGTTTGTTTTTGGAAGTCTCATTAATTCAGTGTTTCATTCATCAAAATCTGCCTTTAATTCATGTTTTATCCATTGGTAATGATTTTGCTGTGATAGGTTTGGGTGTTTTCCACCATTCTTTTTCCCCACTTTCCCTCCCTCCCTCTTTTTTTACTAAATTCTACTGTCACTAATGGGAGGAGCTGGCTTCTGCAGAAGATGCCATTTTGCTTCTCCCATAATTCTCCTGGATGTCGTGCATTCTGGGTAAAATAAAATAGAGATTGCAGGCCTCGGTGGGAGCCCCACCTCTCCTGGAATGCCATGAAACAACAGAAAGCCCTGGGAAGAAATATTCAGATTGAATGGGACTCTCACTTAGGCTTTGGCGAATCTGTCAATTTCGGTTTCTCTCAGTTTCTCCATCTTATGTTCAGTTCTTTGCATTTCCAGATCAGTCTGCAATATATAGAGAGCTGGTGAGAACTTTGAAGGGTGGTTAGATAGATCCAGTTCCCATTGCTACCCACAGTTCACTGTTCCATTCATCTGAAAAACAAATGAGCATTCCCATTTTGAACAGGTTGCCATTCTTGTGGCAAGTTTGATACCTTTGTGGAATCAGGTCACATGGTGGATTAGCTACATAGCATAAAGCAGCCTTTCTCAACCTTAGGTTTCCAGATTTTGTTGGACTACCACTCCCATCATCCCTGACTGCTGCCCCTGCTGGCTGTGGAAGATGGGATTTGTAGTCCAACAACATCTGGGAACCCAAGGATGAGAAAGGCTGGTGTAAAGGATAGTCTCTAAACATGGGCACATGAGAAAGTGTGGGAGAGTTTATGGAGTCAGTTATGTAGTCAGAGTTATGCGGCACAACATGTAATTAATCACCAGGGTTACTTAAAAAAGACAGGCACCAAGGCTGATTGCAAAAGCTGGACTCCTTCAAATGAGTGTCTGGATGCCATGCTGTGTTGAAATGAAGTCTAAACAGATAGAGCAATCTCTTGGCGAGTAAAATGGGTATATAGGGAAGTGTGCTTTTGAGCAGGGCTGGCCCACCCATGAAGCAAGGTGTACTGGCCTGGCCCAGATAAGGAAGCCTGATGGTTAACTCTTTACTGGCAAGAGAAACACAACAGCTTCTACAGTGCTCTGGATACACACCCAAACACACACATGCTTCTGGCCTCTAGGCAGCTGTCCATAGGTCTGGACTCTATGGAGCAGTTGTCACAAAAGTGGAGGCCCTCTCCTCATCTGGCTCATATCCCCTCCTCTGATAGGTTGCATGCTCGCAACCTGAGACTTCTCCTGCATGCAAGTCACTGCTTCTCTTCATATGAGATAACTGGGCATGGCTACTCCAGTTTACTAAACTGATTACAAGCTATGTAATGTCATTAGCACATTCCACAGTGTTGCAAGAATGTATAGATGCAAAGGCTATACCAGGAATTAGAAGGGATCTAATTTTATTATGATTAACAACTGCTACATTGCAAGCTGTGGCTAAATCCACCACTTATTACTGATTGGATTGATAAAAACATGGGGAATTGGGGTTGTGGGAAAGATTTTATCTGAAATTAAAGGCACATGTAACCTGTTGCTTGTGGATGTACTGATAGAAAAGTGGCCACCATTTCTTATGTATGTCGATTCAACAAGAACAATGCAGAAAGGCTCAGCTTCCATTTTTTATTTCAGAATATTGAAGGAGGGAAGGTGCAGCATGAAGAGAAAAACCAAACAAAGAAATCATTTTGAAATTGGAATCTTTGCTTATCTCTGATTTTTCTCATTCTGTTTATATCTTGAAATGCACACTAGTTATTGTGTGGTCTGAGTTTCTGTGTGTGCATAAATACATACAGATCTAAAATAAAAATCCTGTCCAAATTGTTTTTATATGCACTGTATTGCTTTAGCCTTTTAACTGCACACCATCATTCCCAAAAAGTGAGTGTCACATGTTTACTTACCTCTGCACACATAAATCTGAAAGCAGGTGGGTACCATATGGGAGACATCCCCTGTGCGCAGTAATTGAAGGTGTTTCAGAGAGGGACTAGTAGCTGCATGGTATCACATCATATTATTTACATCATTGCCCAGCATAGGGACCTGGAGCTTTATAAAATCTGCAATGTAGAAAACTAAAATGAGAGAGAGGGTGATATCCAACATGAGCCATACTCTATGGACATCCTCTGATTGTGACTAACATTGGATGTAACCCATAGAACAGGAACACAGCCATTAATTTTGAACATAAACATCAAGGCTTTTTAGAAACGCTTTACTGAAAGTAAGTCCTTCAGCAGTCAACGAGACTTACTTTACAGTAGGCATACCTAGGGTTGCATTGTAAAGGGAGTTCTGGGCATTTGTTGAAAAATTCAGCCCCTTCAAAAGGGAATTTTCGTCTTGATACTTGAACACCACCAAAACTCATTACAGCACTGCTTCAAATGCTTAGTTTCCCAAGAAACAAGGAATGCAGATATCTTAATGCACTGGAAGCCTTAGCTCTTTGTGCCACCACCTTCCCATTCACATTCAGAAAGATCTTCTTGATGGTGTTGGAGAACATTTCATTTTTGGGATTGTGCATGTCCATATAATTGTGCATTTCAACACACCACCATAATTACTACCATAGATTATAGGGAGGAACAAGTCTGAGGTCTGGCCAATTTTTAATAAGATGTATTAAATGCAACCTTGAATAGTTCACATACTGTCGCTGGTTCTGCCTTCGGTGCTTTGATTGTTAGCAAATGTTTAATTCTCACTTCATTTTCTGCCTTAATCTTCAGAGTTACAGCAGAAAGGGTAAACAACACACACTTTGCTGTCTCTGCACTCCTGGGACAAATTTTCACAGGTTGCAATTATGCTAAAATAAGCCAGGGGAAGGGTGATTACATTCTCAACTTGCACAAATCACCATAGACCTGGAGTCCAGAATTCCGCTGTTAAAAAAGAAGAAGTCATGAATATTTGAGTCCATAGCAAGTCTTGAACTGGTGACCTAAAGGATGTCAGGCAAGGTTTAAGCATGTGCTCTGCCACTCAGCAATACCCTAAGGACAGAACTTCAGGGGACCATCTGATAAAGCTTCCTTCCACCAATTGGCTAGAGTGGGTCAGGTGACACTCTCTATCCTCTTTAAAGGCTCCCAAGTCAGACTTGCTCACTCGTCTATGTAGCTACGACATCTGCTCCTGCCTTCAGCCTTTGATTTTCCCTACCTTTTGCCTCACCTGACCCTCACTAGGAGCCAGGTTTTACATTAACAATATCTCTCAAACTTAGATCTCTAGCTTTTGTTGGACTACAACTCCCTGGTCCTGCTAGCTAGGGATGATGGGAGTTGTAGTCTAACAACAGAGGGAGACCCAAGTTTGAGAAACACTGCACTAAGGCATCAGCCAAAACAAACAAGCTAATCTTTTCCTACCAAATACATGTGTGCCTCTTTAACTTTTCTCATTCATCAAGATCATTGTTTGGCTCCTGATCACATGCAGTAACCTATATGTCATAGCCTACAAGTAAAGCTGTGACTATTATGGCACTATGGCCAGAGGCTGTACTTGCTTAATTGAGATTGAAAACCAGCCATACCACCTCCTATTCTCAGGAAAACAGGGACTGCACCTGCTTCTGATGCTTGGATGCTAACCGGTTTAGCAATGGACAAGTTTGTCAGTTTCAATTTCTTCTGCTTTACATTTTTCCAATCTTAAGTTCAGTTTTCTGATTTGTTCACAATTTATTTAACAAAAGTCAGTGCAACCATTTTATCTGCATTTTCATACAACTTTTCAGACACCTTTCCCTCTGTCCCTCCTTCCAAATTTGCCTAACATGCACATTTTTGCAAGCAATTTCCCCCAATACAATGCATGATGTTTGTATATTATTTTCACTACTATCTACATTTTTAGCACACTTTCCCCTTATATACATCTTTATATACTCTTTTGGGTTGGTGAATTGCATCACAGAATTTGAAATACTACAAATTTTGGAGGATAACTATGATTTGGTTTGTGTTCAGGAAGTACAAATTAGGTAAATCCATATTAAAATGCAAGCTGAACAAATTTCTCCCCACCCTTGCCATCCCTAATCCTGCTGACCTCTTTTAACTTTATGGTTACTATTGCATACTATGTCTCAGCTAGTCCTATTCTCTATGTAGCTTTTTCTCTGAAGCATTTTTCTCAAGGAAGTCTGTTCTTATCAGCTTGATATGTGATATGCTCTTGATCTAGGAGCTGCATGTTAAAATGACTGATGGAACAGGATCAACAGGGAAATGGCTTTGGAGCTTGTGCTGTCCACAGCTCACATTTCCCTGGGATCTTTTGTTCTTCCCAAACTGGCGTGCTTCCTTGCAGAGGGTTCCTCTTTGCAAGAATGTGAAAGACAGAACTGAATTAATGAATTCTGGTCCTTTCCAGCTCTGTGGTTGCTCTAATCAACCAGCCAGAGATGCTCTAAGCAACATCTGGACAGGTAAAAGCTAAAATTCATGGTCAAAGTGATATTTATAAGAGGAAAGGAATAAAGACCAGTTGTCAAATTTTGCTGGTGCTTTTAATCTTCACAAGATACATCTACTCTTAAAAAGGCTGGTTCACACAACTGAGGTACTGGAGCCTGATAAACATACTGGGCATTCTGATGCTCAGGCATGCGGTGTGAGCATCCACATACAATTAGTTGCTAAGCACTGATTCAAATTGATTTGACACAGAACAAGCCCAGTTAAACATTCATTGGCCCTCACCTACGAAATGTGAGCTGCAGATGTCCATCACATGTGTGTAGCAATTTTCAAAGTGGTGAGACCAGTAAAATAGATTTCATGGGATTAGCTGGATCAAGATTACAAGTTTCAACCTTGCAATAATTTTCATCTGCTGAATTATGCTCTGTTAATATAATAGGACACCAAAGGGAAGTCCCCAAACCCTCCCTCACCTTCTCTTTTCATTTATTCCTCTTTTTCCTTCTCTCATCTGACTCAAGGCCAAAGCAGATGTGACATCATTAGCCCATCTGTGTCTGTCCATCCTGGAACTGGACCATAACCATGTGAGGGAGGGCAATAGGAACAAGCACACTAACTCTGCCCCCTTTTAGTCATCATCATCATTGCCCTCCATGAGTTGGAGGCAGGGCCCCCAACTTGAATAAAATATGGGGGGCAGGTAAGTCCCACCCCACATAATCAGTCACAAGGCACACACACTATTTGAATGGTTATGCCCATCAACTTGGGAGCAGCAGCCTCCTCAAATATTTTATGGGGGATGAAGGGGCCTCGACCCCTAGGAGTTGGCTCCTCATGGTTGGAGGGCAACTTTGTGAAGCAGGGAGCCTCCTGTGCTTCTGGTGGCTCTCTGCACATCTGAGAACCCTGCAGAAGTTCATAAAGCTTCACAGCAACGGGGAACAGAGCTCATCTCTACTGACCCCCCCCACCAATGTGATTACTATGAACAGTCCCAGAGTGCCTGAAGGCAGCTAATGAATCGAGATATTCTTAAGGGACAGACTTCCAGAAATACATTCCAAAGATTTCTCAAAAGGTCGAGACAATTTAAACCTCTCCCTTCACACGGAACAAGAAAGATCTACCTCACTTCATTTGGGATTTGAAGCCACCTGGAGGTCCATGTGCTGTTTGTCTGGAGATTTTAGTGTTAATAATTATCTGTGCTTGCTCAATGAATGCAATAAGTTATTCCTAGCCTTCTCTGCGTCAGCACAAAATAAAGCTCCTGGAGATGACATGTGGATGGTAATTTACTCTACATCTTCCCATGGCCTATTTTCATTGTGTATAATGCAATTCATATTTTTCTATAATTTTACTCTTCCCAGGCAGGAAATGCTTTTTCTAAAATAAAAACAACTACACCTAGCAACTTGTCTCCGAAAGTTTCTGTATTTCAGAGGTGGTCATGCTGCGCTTTTTCTCTAAACAAGCTATATGTGTTATATAGCAGCAGCAGTGGCCATGGGGGTGGGGCAGAGCTGCACTCCTGAAATTAGTGTCACTGAAGCCCTGCCCCATCTTAGTAAGCTGCAATGAATCCAGTGTCAGGAGTATACCTTGGCAACTCTGCCCCACCACCACAGCCACTACAGTGTATGAGAGAGAAGCTAAACACATGTGAAGACGAAAGAGCAAAGGCTTCTTCACATAGAATCTTAGAATTACTTTGTCCAGTTGTGGGCACCATAATTTAAGAAGGATGTTGACAAGTTGGAACGTGTGCAAAGGAGGGCAACCAAGATGATCAAGGGTCTGGAAACCAAGCCTCATTAAGGATGCTTGAAGGAGCTGAGTATGTTTAGCTTGGAAAAGAGGCAATAAGATAGCCATCTTGAAATATCTCAAAGGCTTTCACGTGCAAGATGGATCAAGCTTCTTTTCTCCTGCTCTGGGGTGTGTGTGTGTATGTGTAGGACTCGAACCAATGGTTTCAAGTTATGGAGATTATGACTAAACATCAGGAAAAACCTTCTGACAGTAAGAGCTGCATGACTGTGAAACAGACTCCCTCAGGAGGTTGTGGACTCTCGTTTAGTTGAGATTCCTGCAGTGTACTGGTTTGGACTAGATATCTGCCCTATTCACATATAAAATGTATGTGTGTGTGTAGGCTAAAACTTAAATTAAAATGAAAATGCAGGGCAGAGAAGATAAACATTGCCCCTTTCTCCATCTCATCTCAACTAACTCCATTATTTTCTGTCATTTGCTTTAGCCTGGTTCATTTCCGGTATCAGATCTAGGCTGAAGAAAAGTACCTGCAACCACTGTGAATTAAAGCATTTATGTATTTATGATATTTGTATGTTGAAAATGGCTGTTCTTGGTTGGAGTGATTGGCGCTCTTCCTGCCTGCCTGCTCCCTATACTTCCTATGGTCTTTCAGGTCTCTCTGACTGGCAATTCCTTTTTGCAGATCTTCTCTGCTGCCAATACAGCACCGTCGCCCCATTCAAGAACTGTAGTTAATTAATCACATGCCTTTTAATTGATTGACTGGATAATTAAGCAAGTAAATCCATGTATACAGTATTTGCATATGAGAATAAGAAACCATACCCTAA